TCCTACTAAAATACTTCTACTAAATTATTCTGTTGATAAGTCTTATTAATAGTTTTCGGCTAAATTAATGAAATTATTATTATTCTGCTACTTAAATTATCTCTACTACTATTTTAATTTATAACAACTTTTCTGTTATTTCTGTTAAATTAACTTCCTATTAACATTTAATAACTCTATTACTCATTAATCCTGCCTACTATATTTATGCTAATCTCCCAATTATTCACTTCTAATAAATAACCTCTGCTATTAATCATTTTCCTCTAAACCTGCTACATACCTTCTTGTAACTAAGTACTAAATCAACATATAACAAATATGCAGGGCAGAAACGGGAACATGCAAAACAAAGTAACAGACACGCGATGTGCCCCTCGACACACAAGTTATGCCTCTCGACACTTACACCACCAAACGGTGCCGCCCGACACGCCCTTTGTGATGTCTGTCACAACCGAATTTCCCGTGCCCCTCGCCCCACCAACCATGGCCTTCGGCACAACAGGTTTTCACGCGACCTCTTCTCTTCTCTGTTACTGATGCCAATACAGAACCCTCTAGTTTTTCCTTCGATCACCAGTCTCATACCAAAAAAATATATTCACAACATTATAATAACTATACCCATATCAACGCATAATAATTTCCAACACTTAATTCATCTATAGAATTACTGTAACATTATCAGAAAATTATCAGATAAACCAAACAACAATTTGTACATACAACCATCACATACAGTAACAATTTTACATAACCTAATTCCTACGTAACATGCATCATATACCCAATTATAGAGTCAGAACCCCACTCTTACCTTGGATTGAAGGTTGCTCTATAATTTTCTGATTAAATCCCGCTTTGCCTCTTTTCTTCTTTGCTCTGCAACTTCTACGTTCTCTTTCTCTCTTCCAACCCTTATTCCTCTCCTTCTTGACAAAAACCTATTTTTCTATTATTATAACGAAACTCAATAATAATAGAATTATTTCTATTGGGCTTAATTCTCACACCCCCTTAGTACTACATACCACCATATAAAATAGGCCCAATAACTTAATCTTATTATTCCATTAATTACAACAATAGTATTATTATTAATCAACTAATTAATTAATTAATTAATTAATTAATATAATCTAACAACTTATACCACAATTCTCAACATATCACAACTTCAACAAATAATCCAAAAATAATTTAATTATATAATTAATTAAATTAACGGGCGTTACAATTAGCATCAAAGTTGCACGACAATATTTCTGGATCAACCTCCCAAGTACGTAATTCAACCAATTTCCATTGGCTTAAACGAGGTAGTAATTCAGCATAGGATATGAGAAGTGCATCAAATTTTTGGGGAGGTTGCTTTGGCCTCTGCTGATGATCTTTCCCCTTTAGATTTTCTTGGGAAACAACAAAAGGGTTGTGGACGGGAAGACCCCAAAACATAAGGCGGAGTAGGAGATACATGAATTACTTCATGACTTGAAGGTGCCCCTGAAGTATGGGGAGGAACGACAACCCCTATTGTTGCAGCAGGTATATGATCATCTCCCTTTTTCAATATTGTCCTCAGAACTTCCATAACCAAATTCAGCTGAGTCTTCAACTGAGTATTATCCTCCCTCATGAATTCCTGACCACAGACCAACGTCTGTATATCCATCATAAACATCCCATCTAATTTTTCATATCATCCAATTCCCCACGAGGTTGCTCCATAGCTTTTCTGGATCACAGTGTGGTGAGAAGTCAAGATTCACAGTTCTGAAAAGAATATCAGGCCTGAATAAGAATTTCCCCAACTCTGAATACCTGTTATAAATGCATGAAAATGCATGAGGTGAATGAGTGGATGAAATGCCACGTTCAATCATTTTCAAGGAACCCGCATGCTTTTAATTTTAATTTTGATCCGGTAAGATATGGACAAACACAACAGAAGGCTCACAAGCACAATTCTTTGGAAATGGAAAGAACATGTGTGTTAACTTTTTGTCATGCATACATTATTTTATTCATTTCTTTTGTAAAATTAAATATGCCATGATGCAAGGATAATAACACATGGAATCAAGGTTTCCACAATATTGGTTGTTTGTTGTTTCTGAATATGCCGAGAATATAAGAACCACAGATCCAGAACATAACCAGAAAACCATAGTCACCAACAGAACATACGGTCACCATTAGAACAAAGTCACCATCTGTACATGTAAATATTATTCTCGCCTCATTCACAGATCAAAACTAGGTCTGAGTAAGGTCAATGGTAACTCAGAATCCCAGGTCCGCCTGAAAATACTATCATCGTACACCTACTTGATAATGGCAGTACCTCCTTAAAACCTCATCTGAGCATGGACGACATAACCGCACTAGAAAGATCTACATCCCCTAGCCGCCATGTTCCACTCTATCCCTATGTGTTCCTAAGAGTTTACAACTCTGGCCTGGGCATGGGTCCTTTTACCTCAATAGTATCACCCACCCAACAAAGAAACACAAAATCCAGCACAACACCAGTATATGGAAAGCAATAAAGATGCAATGCAAATATATGCTCAGATAAACATGTAGAGATGAATAAACTGTAAAACATAAAAATAAACACCCAAAGAAAAGACAACAACAACTAGGAGTGACTCCGGAATGGACCAGTAATTAGTCAATCGCTCCTCAGTGAAGTCGCCAGCTAAAACAATCGATAGAATAAATTATTGAGATGAAATCAATGAAGTCGCCATCAAATGTTTTTTATCCCACAGGAAGGGAAAGATAAACATCGACTAAACCTGAGAAGGGTGAAATCAAGGTCAAATGACCGAGAGATACAAGTAAGGGATTCAATTACGTAAGGGAAATGTATTAGCACCCCTCACGTCTATGGTACTCCACGAGATCCACTCTTGTTGTTCTAATTAAATGGTGTGTTATAACCTAAAGCTTACGAGCTAAGGACAAAAATGCAAAGAGAGAATGCATGCAAAAGAAAACACGGGAAAAAGAAGGAAATGTTTACAAAGTTTCGCTCAGCTGGGTCCCACGACCAAATGCCTATGTATCCCTTTTAAGGAATCAAAGCACCGTAGTTCAGCTCAAAAGTTTCCATTTGTTTTGTGTTTTTTATGGATAATGTTGCATTCGCATCCTTACGGTTAGGATCGTAATTCTTGCTTGGCGTTGCAGCTTGTAAAAGACTCATGCTTGATCCCTCACACACTTAACATTTCCAAGTTGTTCGAATTTGAAACAACACAGCCTTATTGAAAAGGTTTTAAAGGGAAAAAAAGGTCCGAAGACAAAAAAGGTTTGCATTGGTTTGTACTTTTATTGTCAAAGAATTTGCGACTTGAACCGTAATAAATTCCGAAAGTGAAAATAGAGCGAGCCTCAGTCTAAACCGATCCGCCAATCCCACAAGAATTAACTGCATACAATTCACGTCTTCTTTTATTAAGTATTTTAGAATTTTCAAAGAAAAAAAGAGGTTTTAGTTTTAAGGATGCAAAAGAAAAAGAAAAATGTCTCAGGGAAACTATCTAGCTTTATCCCTAATGTTATCATACAATGATGGCCATAATGTTCGGATAACAAAAAGGAAAATCTCTACCTATGTTAGTATGCATAGATCACAATCTAATGTCCATCTCAAATCATCGCCAAAGGTTGAGTCGAGATCCTAAGGGAATATGCAAATGTTACAACCTAATATCCAACTTGAATCGAAAATGAAACAAGCAATCCTAAGAGATCGTGCAATGGTAGAAAGAGAAGCACGACACAAGTGCAATCAAACAAAGTAGAGCCAAATCCAAAACAAACATCGGGGGCAAGCTAATAGCAAACAATATAGTCCAAAGGATCTCAAAGTGGGTGTAAGGAACTCTTTCCAATTGATTTGCTCGAGCACCGATATCAAGTAACAACTCGGAGCATCAACGTCGAGCGACATGTGCTAACATCGTTGAAACGAATGACAAAATGTGGGGGTTGATTACGAACCCTCCTCCACTTTATTCGACTCAATGGACAAGAATGGGCACGGTTCAAAGCATCAATGCATGATGTGAGCTAGGAACGACAGAGACTAGAATGCGTGGGAGCCGATTGCGAACCCTCCTCCACTTTATTGACTCGATAGCAAGCACAAAGTAAAAGAGAATGAGAATTGCCTACTTCGAGAATTTTCCGATCTTTATGCACCCCCTTATAGAGTTAGAACCACACCCTTACCTTGGATTGACGATTCTTAATCCCTACGATGAAATCTCTTGCTCTAACTTCTTAGTGCTCTTTCTCCCTTCTCTCTTCTACGACTGTTCTGACTCTGTTTCTACGTTCTGAATCTATTTTCTCTTCTCAATCTTATTTTATTCCAACAATAACCCATTAGACTCCTAAATATTTTAACAAATATTTTTTAGCCAAAAATACACAGATATTTCAAGAGGTTCATTCAGAATACTGTAAATGTATTAGGTGTTAACACTTTCCTTTTGCATAACCAACCTCGTATCTTTTATCTCTTTATTGCATTGTCTCTAGCTTTCTTGCTTATTTGAATTACATGTCTTTTTTTTTGTTTTACTTCGCTTCCAATTCCTTGAAAATAATAAAGTGCTGTGACAATTTTCACTATAATGAATTAAGTCAATCAATTGTTTTAATCTCATTTTTTAAACGTTAAACAAACAACAAAATTGAGTCATTTATGTGTATTTTATTTTATTTGAAAATATACAAACATAACTTAACCGATAAGCATGGGTTTAAAAATCCACAAGATTGGCTAATAAACAGGATTAGTACTTTCCTAGAAAAACATGATTATTATAAGCAAAAGGGAACAAGAACAAAAACCATGGGAAGAATGAAGAAGGGAAATGACAATGTTATTTTGGCGGTAATAGACAGAAATTCTGTTGCCTATGTTCTAAAGCAAACCAACTAGCACTGCTTCTGTCCGGATCAAACAAATCCGAAGCATCATGAACAAGCCTCCACGAGAAGATGACCGCAACAACACTGTTTCTACTCTCGACTCCAGATTCAGCCAAACCCTACGAAATGTTCAAGGGTGCGTTCTCTTCCTTTTTTCATTTTCACAGATCTCGCGTTTCATTCATTCTTATAATCAATTTCAATTCCTCAATTCATGATCTTCGCATTCAAATTGCTTCTATCTACAATTCGCATAATTAATAATTAGGATTTCATCTAATCACCCCTATTAGATTCAGTAATTAATTTAAATTGTATGTTTGGATTCTTTTTAATTAGAGACAAAAACTGATTTTTACATGTAGCGTTGATTTTGCATTTAGGTTTGGATTCTTTACATTAATATAAGTAATTTATATTCAACTCGTTTTTTGCAGCCAGAGAATGAATCACACACTTTGTTTAGTTATTGATAAGAGAATTTATGTTCCCTTTTTTCATTAAGGTTACTCAAAGGTCGTAGCATGCCCGGTAAAATATTGTTGAGCAGAAGGTCAGAGCCATCCGATAACTCTATCTCGAAGGTATCCTCAACATTTTACAAAAGGAGTTTCTCGCAGAATGATGCTGGGACGAGCAATCACCCGTCTGGTGCAGTAGAGGTGATCTTAGTATTCTTAATTATAACATTTCTTATATATCTCTATAGTCTACAAGTTTGATGCGAATCAGTTCGCTAAGTGGGGTCTTATACTCTTGATACAGGAGGAAGTTCAGAGTACAAGCAAATCAGTCAGTGTTGCTAATGTTAGTAAGTTGAAAATATCAACCTCCCTTGGGGAAAGAGATAACTTGTCCGAAGATATTCGCAAGTATACTATGGGTGCTAGAGCTACTGATTCGGCAAGAGTTACAAAGTTTACTAAAGTGCTTTCAGGACCAGTGGTTATATTAGGTATATTAATTAACTTTCATACTTCAATTGTCCTATGTATTAGCTTCTTCTTTTGTTACTCTTACATGGCCAGATCCACTTATTGTAGTTGCAAGACAATATGAATAATAATATCTTGATCTTATCTTAGAGTATCTCAAATTATTTTTTAGAATTAGTTTTCACAATTGTTTATATTTTGATTTTTTTTTGTTAGTTTGAATTAGGGGTTTAGTATTAGCTTAACTTAAGTCAATATTAATCCGCATTCTTCCATATCATCGACCCGTTCTAACATTTTCTCTTCCCTCCTTTATCTAAAACTTTATAACTAAAATATGTGTATTGTGTTGTATGTAAAACCGTGTTCTCAGATTAACTACCTGCATTATGGTTGCCTTAGCCTATTGATATTTTTGGCAGTAAGGTTCAAAATAATTTGCAACAGAAATTAAGCCTTGCTCATGATATATGATATTGCCTGAACTTTATCCATTTCGTTTTACTAAGCTGTTAAGCCTTCTTGAAACCTATGTTTGCATACCAGAGAAAAGTATTTCCTCCTTGACAAGTTGACATCCATATTGTAGACAAATTGCGGGAATTAGCTTGGAGTGGTATTCCAGATTATATGCGTCCTAAAGTGTGGAGACTCCTCTTGGTAAGCTCTATGGACTTTCAGCTATTTTGCTCGTACTAGTTTATGCTCTGATCATAACTCTCAGTCATATGAAGCGTGATAATAAGGAACTGTTGAGCTCATTTAAGTTGCTAACTTGCTAAGACAAGTAGACAAGTAGATTCTTATTTTATTTATTGGTGTCTTAACATAAAAGTTTGGTTCATCGGAGGCTGAGCTATGGAATTATTCTCTCATAAGAGACCTTGATGCTGGCCACGTACGTGTTTTGCAACAAAATTATAAGGGAAATTTTAGAAAAGAATATATTGTATTTGTCATATAGAGAATCAGTAAGGGGTCAAACTAATTGACATCCCATCACACCTTCTTACAGACAACATTTTGTCTTCCTGGAAATTTAAAGATAAACTGACAACAGGGATATGAACCACCTAATTCAGATAGAAAGGAGGGAGTTCTGAGAAGGAAGCGTGGAGAGTATCTTGATTGTATATCTCAGTATTATGATATTCCTGCTTCAGAACGTTCGGATGATGAGGTCACTATGCTTCGCCAGGTATTCTTAGCTCTAATATATTCCTATCTTGATTATTTGTGAAGACAGTATTATTGTTTTTGACAGCTTCCATTGTATGTTTGTTAGATTGCGGTTGATTGTCCAAGAACTGTACCTGATGTTCCTTTCTTCCAGCAACAGCAAGTTCAGAAATCATTGGAACGTATTCTTTATGCATGGTAAGATATTTTTTGCTACCCATTTTTGGTCCCACTATTCTCGGTCTAGTATGTTTTGCTTGGATAATTTTTTTAGGTGAAGGATTGCTCTTAGCTTGGCTAAGAAAGTCACACATCACAAGTTCCTCAGTATTAGGACATGTTAGCATGTATCACTGTGTATAGCACTGAGTGATACTCTTAGTGAATCTTGAAAGGGGCATAGTCACTTATTCCCTTCTAGAAATGGTTTGATGTTACTTATATAATTTCCCAATATTTTGTCAGGGCCATTCGACATCCTGCAAGTGGATATGTTCAGGGGATAAATGATCTCGTTACACCATTTTTAGTTGTTTTTATATCAGAATACTTGGAAGGAGGTATAGATGATTGGTCCATGTCTGATTTATCTTCCGACAAAATCTCTAATATAGAGGCTGACTGCTACGGGTGTTTGTCAAAGTTGCTTGATGGTATGCAAGACCATTACACATTTGCTCAACCTGGAATTCAAAGGCTTGTTTTTAAATTGAAGGAACTGGTCAGGAGGATAGATGGTACACTTTTTTTCCAAGGCCTTTTATTTTCCTTTCGGCATTGGTATAATTTCATGAACATAAATGCCTCACCACCTATTTATGGATTTCATACCATTGATATTCTCCAGATCTCATTTTCTATTTTCAAATAGTGTTCTCAATTCTAAATTCTTCTAGTAATATTAGTAATTAGTTTAAGTTTTCAGAGTAAAAGTACTCTCATATTATGCCAGTTGATTAGGACTTAGGAGAAAGAGAAGAACGTGAACTCTTGAAGCTGAGAACATATAATTTATCAGACTAAGGAACACTATTATTCTACCTTCATAGCCAATGTAAAAGAGATGCTGGAAAACTGTTGTTCCTATTGTCTAGGTTTGAAGCATTTGTTGTTGCCACCCAATATTCTTATTCAAACTCTTTAATGTATGACTAGTGAGTGAGTATCCTTTCTGATGTTTGCTTGCAATCATGATTTTTAGTTAGTTTGTGTGTTCATTTTGAAGTAACTTTCTAGACAGAGGAGTATAATCTGTTTGGTTGCCACAAGGGCTTGAATGGTTCAATTAAATAATTTACTCAGTCTTTATAACCGTAAACTTAACTATCTTATTTGCCTTTATCTTATTGATCATTATTTGTTTTGCTGTAATATTATTATTATTCATATATCTTCAAATATAATCTGATCTGATGATCCCTATTGAAACTTTCGAGCTGCATCAGAGCCTGTTTCACAACATATAGAGGATCAGGGACTTGAATTTCTTCAATTTGCTTTCCGCTGGTTCAACTGTCTTCTAATCCGTGAGGTTTGTCCTAGCCATTCTTCCCTTATAAGTTGGATAATTTCAGTCACCTTGTACAAAGTTTCCAGAAGCACTTATGGAAAATGAAATATTATGTCTTATAATAACAGTTTTTTAAATAGTAGTTTCGTTTATAACTGTATAAGCTGAAATTAGTTATGCAGCTCAGTTTTTTCAGATGTTTTCTCTTTTAACTTGTCAATAGACATATAGAAGATTATTTTTGGAAATGATGAACCATAAAATTGTTTTAATTGAGAAGCTCTTGTTAAGTTAAAAACTAATTTAAACTGCATCTTTCTCGAGAGCAACATTGTATGTGTCATTGATAAAGTGACTGAACGGTAAAATGGACTATGATAAACATGGGTTGATTTATGCTTTTACTGAGGCTAATATCTGATTGTATAACTAGATACCATTTGAGCTCATCACCCGCCTTTGGGACACATATCTAGCTGAAGGAGATGCCTTACCAGACTTCCTCGTGTATATATTTGCCAGCTTCCTTCTAACGGTGAGCTAGCTTACTTTGGCCTTTTTTACTAAAATAGTGTATTTGAGTTAGAGTTCATCTTTTAGTCATGCTGATTAGGAATGGTATTTGTTGGTCTTGTTAATATGTAATTTTTATCTCTTCTGCTACATACTGGTTGATAATGCTAAACCCGGTTTCAAGTTTTGTTTGCTATAAAACAAATGTCATTTGCTTTCACACCACTTTCGGTTTTTAAGATAAACGCCTTTCCTAGAGATGTCCTTCTGTATCTAGAATTTTTCACCGTGCATTGAACACGGATATGCTTGTATTTCCTAATTGTTTATGCCTGCTTCAACGCGCACACACTTGTTATGCATTTCTTTCTGTTGTATTTCACACGGATGCTTAGATTTTTAACACATTCTTCTTACTTTTTATCGATGATTAATATGTAGAAACTAGAAACTGATTTTTCTAAATGTATTTTTTTTTCTTTAGTGGTCAGACAAGCTACCGAGCTTGGAATTCCAGGAGTTGGTAATGTTCCTTCAACACCTTCCAACTCAGAAGTGGACTCACCAGGACCTTGATATGGTGCTTTCCCGGGCATTTATGTGGCACACCATGTTCAACAACTCTCCAAGTCATTTCTCTAGCTGAGCATGCAATTGTGGTTTTCTCAATTTAGTCCTTCTTCAATTTCTACTCCTCTCTGAACTCCACTAGTGTTGCTCTTGCTTAGTGTATGGTGCTTTATTGTCGGTGAATGATTTTTTTCAACCGATTGAATATTTTTGTAAAGGAGAGACAAATAAATGATTGTCTCAGTTTTGTTGTATTTATATATTTTTCAGAATATCAACAAATATCCAGTTTGTATCCACAAGTGTTCTTTTCTAATGTATGCCAGTTTGCCGGTACACATCTCTCAAAGATATGCTAATACAGTGTTTGGTTGGAGGAAAATGAATATGCTAAATTGCTAACAAACTAATCTCCAGTTATTAATATGGCTTAAAATTCCACTGTTTGACCAAAAGCTCAATACCATTTTAGGTATGAAAATTATATGCAAAGAAGATTGATTCAATATACTTGATATGGTAAACTTCAAAGAATATTACTTTACATAGCCATAAGTTTTAAGCTCATTCCTCAAAAAATTAACAATTGTATAAGATAGTGAAATGATGGCGATTGATTGATTTCGCGTGTTGACCGCGTAAAATCAAGGAGGAACGGATAACCTAATTTTATTCCTCTTCCACTTCAAGTCCAGGTACATATTCCAAGCTTACATCAAATATAACTGGACTATTTGGAGCCACCCTTGGTCTTCCTGGAGCAGAATTAAGCCCTTTTGGAAATGCCAACTGCCAAACAAGAAAAACAAAGATATTTAGCCAACAGTTAGAATTAAATGCTCATCCAATCAAGAGAGAAGCTTACTGATCCAGGTATGTATAGCCGACGTTTCCCGCCTACTTTCATGCTTAAAAGACCTTCATCGAGTCCTTTTATCACCTGTTAACTCGTCGGGTCAAATATCAGTTAGTTTTTGAAAGGATTTTCAAACACTTAGGCCTCAAAACTAGTGTTTTTCAAACAACATTTAGGGTTTACCTGACCAGATCCAACTCGAAAAATGTAAAGCTGGCCTTTCTCCAATGAACTGTAAATTGAAAGGAGGAAAAGAACAACACATAAAATGCACCTTTGTTAGGGTCATACTAACAGGCTTCAAATTCAACAGTACTAGCTGTTTAAGGACTAAGGAGTGAGGAAAGCCTGATAGAATTTTGTAATTGGAGGATACCTATCAAATATCTGTCCAGATGGAACCATTGCAACATAATTAGCAGCCACCTGTCAGAGATGCATATGAAAATGTAGTCAGTCTTGCTCTATTGATCTCGATCGAAATTAGCATCGGCTGCCTCTTTGAAACGGCGGAGACGATCTTAAGCATGCAAGAGAAACCGGACTAGTCAGAAGATTTTACACACCTGAAACCCAACTGGTGGACTAGGGCCTTGCCCAACCTTAATATCCTTGTATTGCAAACCTGATTCAGTAGTTACCATAGGTACCTTCATGCATAAAATCGATATTAAAAACTAAACGTGATGCAGCAGCGTGAAATGTGAATGCATTCTCAGCAATGGTAAGACATAGAAATAGGACTATGTAATCTCACCATACATTTTCAAGCTCTTTCTCACAAGTGCTGTCACATAGTTTAGGTTTTTCTTCTGGTGGTAAACCAGCTCCATTGGCAGCATCAAATGAATGGATGAAAAGTGTAGAAACTCCTCCTAATGCTAATCCAAGAAAGTCTCTACGTGAATTGGTATTAAACATGGCATTATCATTAGCATTAGAAGTGGATTCTCTTGTCTCTGAGGACTTCACTTTAAGAACAAATCTTCTAACAGAAATGCCTTGAGGAGCAGCATTAAGAGAAGGAATTTTACCACAAGTAGAATCTACCAAAAAGGAACAAATAAAATATAAATTAACATTGAAATTGAAGAGTTGTGAGCAAAATAGAGAGTGAAATGACTTACAAAATGGAAGGAGAAGAGAGGAAGCCATGCTAGGCATATCCGAGGATGTAATGTTGTGTCATGTGATGGTGATGATGTTATTTTTTGCAAATGGATAAACCAAATCTAGTTTGAACAATAAACATGGATTATTGGATTGTGGTGTGTTTTTTTTCAGGGCCATAGATACTCTTCCACGTGGCAGATAAATATCATATCAAACAATAGAATTAGAGCTTGGGCTTGGGGAGTTGCTATCCGCGAATCTATTTCTTTGATACACCTCCTAGTAAGAGAAAATTGAAAAAAAGAAGCTGCTTACTTCTTTTTTAATTATTATTTTAGAGGGTTACTTTCCTCATCCCTAAGGTTGCTTTCCCGCGAAGGTGAAAAAATCACAACTATCTCTAAAATTTAGATATGCATCTTTGGACATGCTATTTTTACATACTCCTCACTGTAAATTGGTGAATCACTATTTTTTTTTTTGTCAAAATAGTCTGGAGATACTCCGTATAAATATTAGGTGAGTCTAGAAATGCATTTATGTAAAAACCTTTAATTCAAAATTCAAGGAGTTTTACAATAATGTATTTTCGGATGCGTTTTATTCATACACTCACGTCATATCCTTCTTTCTTCCTTCTTCATTTGATACAAAGTCACTAAAATCCAATTTGAGATTTTTTTGCCGCAAAGTCATTTTCAAATCCCATTTGAGCAAAAGTTCATTTTTCAAGGTCACTCACTCCATTCAAGCTTTCATCTACAATTTAAATTTGGTAAATTTCTCATTTTATTTATCTTTGAGATTTGAATGATGTTTTAGGTGACATAGACTATTTAAGATGTATTAGATAGTAATACATTCAAAATAGATAATTGGTATAAATATTCATTTCCATTTAGTTAGAGTTTAAGGCATTAATGAAGTTTATGTCATTTCTGTAATTCACAAGTTTATTCGGAGATGCATCTCTTGATTTTGTCTGAATTAATTTTCGGAGATGTATATCTGGATTTGATCTGACTGCATTTTGATGTGATTTTCTAGTTTTATTATAGATACAAATCTAAAAACAATTAGGACAAAATTAGACTCGATCGTATGTTCTAACATGCGTTTATACGATATGAGAGGACCAACGAAAACGTCACAAGACCACAAGTCAATGCTAACTCGTTTAATGGTTAACAACCATTTGCTTCTACTTCCCAAAGAAAAGGAAAGTGATGGAGGAAACCTATAATGAAACCAATGATGTTGGTAATAGTATGGAGCCAGAAACATACAACTTGCATTTGCTAACATTGATTCTTTGATTTGGATTGTTACCATAAATATCTAAAAAATGTTTGATAGATCTCACAAATGTATGATTTCCTTTGCAAAACACCATAATATCATATGCAAAAAGAATATGACTAAAAACGATGATGCCTCTCGAACTTGTCATACACTCAATCTTGCATTTAACAATAAAATTAGATAGATCTCTATTAAGCACTTATATTGCAATACAAAATAAAAAGGAGATAAATAATCCCCTAGAATAACCCCTTTGAAACGACTGCAAAGTTGCACAGATTTATCATTAATAATATGATAAATCTTAGTATAGTTGTGAATACAATCTATTAAACTCTAAAAAAAACACTAATAAATAACTCATTTTAATTTATTTTAAAAAATCATGAGTAAATAAGAAATTATATTATATAACTTAAATAAATATATGATATATTATATGTAAATGATAAAACTAACATTGCAAGAAAATCATATTTACTTTTTTATTTTATTTTAATTAAATTTCATATATCTAAAAAATATAATAACCATTTTGCTTTTAAATATTCTAATTTTAATAAATTAATCATTAACAATAACTATTTTTAATTTAATGTTAAATTCTCTTTTATCATGTTTTATTTATATTATATCATATCAAATTTCTATTTTTAAACTAGTAAACGACCCTGCATTCGCACGGGTCACGCAATATATAATTTATTATGAAATATTTTAAAATTTATTAGGTATATAGAAATGCATAATACTGGATATACAAAATTTATAATAAGTTGTCCCTAAAAAACTGATTAATATAATGGTGTATGTTGGTTTGTGAAGGTTGTGCATTACCATAATTCTCATTAACTTAATTACAATTAAATCATGAACACATTGTTCTCTAGAAATTGTATAAGGGCACAAAATATTTATACGAACGCATTTTGGATATTGTCCACTATCAACTTTCATATTCAAACCATGTACTAATGTCATGTCTTTCTTCATAGTATAGAATCAAACATTGATTAATTTGAATAGAAAAAAAAAAATAGACACATGAATGAAATTATCTTTGTAAGTTTTATGTATGAGTTATCTCTTAGTTATATGCTCACTAAATAAGTTTTATTACCTTATTATTTGATTATTTTATAAATCAATTATTCATAAATGATAAACATAAAGACATAGTGCATGATTTAAATAAAGATGTTGAAATCATTCTAATTTGCCTTCTTGTTAGCTTAAAAGGCCACAACGATTGTGTAAGAGTGATATCCATCTTTAGAATGTAAATTGTACAACTAATGTTTTTCTGGACATAATCTTTGCTTCAATCACATGGTCTGTCAATCTTGAAATAATAAGTCTCGTATCATTGCATAATCCTTCAGATCAATCAATATTTCTTAAAAGCATTATTGGTGTACCAACTTTTAATTTAATTTTATGATGTGGAAGACCACGTGCTGTAAGTGCATTCAAAAATTCAGAAGTCAATACATCAAATGATTCATTGGCATCAATATCCATTATGTCAACAAAATCAGAACTAAATACTCCTTTTTATCTCCTACATATATATGTCAAAAATATCAATAGAGTATATAAAAGGTATGTATAATACGGACTAATTTATAAACAAACAGTTTAAAAATGTAAATTTAATTACCTGGAATAATATCTAACGTATACCGATTGATAACATCGACTGTTTCCAATGTTCCAGCCAAAATTGCCCCACATTGAAGGTATTCAGGGTTTTTATAGTTTTGGAGAAAGTTAGGATACATTGATTGAACAATGGCTTTTAGGGG